AAAAAAAAAAAAGAAGTGCCTCATCTGTGCAACTGGAAACAAGATGTTCACATTTAAACCACTTTCTAAGTATGATTCACAACTAAACAGTGACAAAAACCATCAGCTCTCTGACAGTGCAGACAGGTCATCTACATCTCCGGGTTCCAGTAAAAAGATGAAAGAACTAGAAATCAAGAAAGCCATCAGAAATTAAGAAACCTGTCAAGTCAGGAGGGAGATCAGACAGCGAAAAAAAAATCCATGCTCACCATCAGTAAGCAGTAAGTTCAAGAAGCTCCAATCTCCAATTAGTAAACACAAAGTACAGAAATGTGACAGGAGTAAACATGAAGAGATCAGGTGAGAAAACGCCCAAGGAAGGTTCTCAGTGAAATGATCACAACATGAAAAGGGAGAGATTTAAGAACTTGAATAAAGCAATACTCCACAAAAGGCAGGGAAAGGGGCAAGGAAAAACAAAATGCATTCAAATGCTCAATTCCCAGAGTAAGATCCTTACTTTGGTGATATGCGTACACCCCTAGCCCGTCAGCTTGCTCGGGGTCCACACCCTACAGGAAGCCTCCTCCAGCCACTCCACCTACTCACATAAGTCAGCCTGCCTACTTAGAGAGTGAGCTGTTAAGACAATGGAGTACAAAACAGGTGAAAAAACACCAGTCTACTACTAGCCATGATAGTCCCGAGCTCATAAACACAGATAATCAAAGACTGACAGACACTTAAGGAAGACACAGAAGTGACATAGAAGATAAAGACCAAGGCACACAGAAAGAACTCATCTTTAATGGTTGATCCTCATTATTTTGAGACTCTGTATTTGTAAACTGGCCTAAAATTTATTTGAAACCGTGAAATCCAATTTCACAGCCATCTGTTGACATGTGTAGAGCAGCTTGCCCAACGCAGACTCCCAGCTAAAGAGCAGAAGAGGACACACTGCCTGCTTTCAGCTCGCTCACCTAGGAGTGCTCTTTTTGCAGTCTAACTAGGACATGTTTTTCCCATTTTGTGTTTGGGGGATTTCACAGTTTAAAATGGTCCCCACACAGCTGTGATGTGTTTCAGACAAAATACCTGTGGTCAAAAAGCTTCATTCAAGCCTCAGTGCTATTGGCTGTGATCGCAATGTTAATGAATCACGATATCACATACTAAAAAGTTGTCTTTAAACAGAAACACATACACACAAAAACGTTATGTCTTAATTAGTTGACAAAACTACAGCAATCAGACGCTTGTGGAAACCTCACCATGAACTTCAGAGCAATTCAGTATTAGCTAATCTAATTTAGTGTCCATGGTAACTTTATAAACCATTATCTGCAAATAAAGAGATCCAACTGTGTGTAAATTCAGAGGAAAAATGAAAATTCAAAATAATTCTTTTTTTTTTTTTTTTTT